GTCTCCCTGTTCAATTACTTCAGCAGTACTGTATATCTAAAATGTACCTGTCCTGTTTTCTTTCCTTCAGAGATCGTTGAAAGGATTCCTTTTTGCTAAGCTGTATTTTGAGATAAAAGAATATGAACTTGCTAAAAGGTAATAAATGTTACGTATGTTGTTCTGTTCTTTAACATGTGATAGAAAAGCTAAGTGAAGTGGAGCAGAGAAATCAAGACCATTCTCATGCTGTTCTGAGGTAGCAGTAAATGGGAGAATTGGATGCCGTTTAAATCTGCCTAAAAGAGCAGCCTGAAGGATGGGCAGTCATAGTGTGCTGTAAGAATTCACCTGGCTGGAATGTCTTTTATGCCACTGTGTTCCGGCCTTCGTGCAGTTTCTGTGAACTACTGCTTTATAATGAAGGCCAGTACTTGCAGGCAAATAGGTAGAATCTGTACATGTAGAAACAATGTTGTTCCTTACTTGAAGGTCTAGATCAAGCACCTAGAACTAAATATGGCTGGATGTCCTGTATGACAGATTACATTCCCACATTAGCTGCAGGCTGTGGGGGGTCTTGTATTACTGAGCAGTACTGATCCTTCTGTTTTGTTTTTTGTTTTTTTATTTACTCTGTAGATACATTTCTACTTATCTCAGTGTCCAAGAGAGAGATCCCAAAGCTCACAGGTTTCTGGGACAGATTTATGAAGCTCAGGATAACATAGAAAAAGCTTTTGGGTGTTACAAGGTAAGCACTTCCCTCACCTCCCTGATGTCCTGCTTTATTCCATCTGAAATGGACTTGATCTTTGTGCTGCCTGCTCTGATTTTCTTCCCCCTGGACGAAGAATCTGTGACCCCTGTAGAATTCTGTAGTAGGGATTATGGTAACAGCAGTAATGCAGCTGCTACTGAAAGCCTGGACTGAGAGTGTTTCTCAGTTGCACAGTTTGCTTTTTGTTGGTGGTGGGCTTTCTGTTTGTTTGTTTCCTCAGAGGTAGAGGGAACAGGGCAAACACACTTTTGATTAGGCAAGTGTGTCAATGTGAAATCCAGTCAACGTTTCATTATTTGGGCTTTGGGGAGGGAGAGGATATGCACAAAAGTCTGGTTGCCACTCAGTGGAGTACTGTCAGTCTTTCTGACTTAATTCTGATTTTCAGAAGCCTCCACATTAGGTTAGACTAGAGATACTCCTCGTGCAGTGGTCTGAGTAGAGCAGCAGCTGGTGGTAGAGGCAGAGGAGCTGTTTTGGCATTATTTCTCTTGTGGTGTTCTGGATTCCAGCAGTTGTCTGGGTGTTAGAAACCAAGGGTGGCCTTTGAAAAAGGAGACTTTTCTGAAAGTAGTGAGAAAATACTTATTGATAGTTCTAACTTGACTTGCTGGGTCTGTTTATTGGGGGCATATTTTCTTTCTTGTTCTATATGGACTGCAAGATCAAGTTACCAGTAACCTTTTTTTCTTGTGTTTGTGCATGGGAAACCCAGCGTTCTGTGGAGCTGAATCCAATGCAGAAAGATCTTGTGCTGAAGATTGCAGAGTTGCTGTGTAGTAACAACATCACTGATGGAAGAGCCAAGTACTGGGTTGAGAAAGCTGCCAGGCTCTTCCCTGGGAGTCCTGCTGCTTACAGACTGAAGGTAAATTCCAACTCCTAATCTCTGCTCTGTGCATAGTAGAAACTGCAGTTTCTGTAACTGATGGGAAAACCATGTTAGTAGTAGTTTCCAAGAAGTCAAGATTAGATTAATATTGCCTCTATTATGTGACTACACTGCTTTCTAGGTTTTTTTTATTTGAATTAAAAGCTGTAGAATGTAGGAGATGCTGTTATTCCCAAATACTGTGTAAATGCTTTCAGTCATACT